AGCAGTCAGATCCTTCTCTGTGTGAGCGGCAGACATGCAGGCTATATCTGGTCAGCTCTTCAATGAAGACACAACGGCTAGCCAGTATCCTCCTCACTGGCGACACAACGGCTAGCCAGTATCCTCCTCACTGGCGACACAACGGCTAGCCAGTATCCTCCTCACTGACGACACAACGGCTAGCCAGTATCCTCCTCACTGGCGACACAACGGCTAGCCAGTATCCTCCTCACTGTGCGACACAGACGGCTAGCCAGTATCCTCCTCTCTGGCGACACAACGGCTAGCCAGTATCCCCTCACTGGCGACACAACGGCTAGCCAGTATCCTCCTCACTGGCGCACACAACAGGCTAGTCAGCCAGTATCCTCCTCACTAGTGACCACAACTCTAGGTCCGCTATCATCAAGCAGTATGGCTCCTCACTGACGACACAACGGCTAGCCAGTATCCTCCTCAGCTCTGACGACACAACGGCTAGCCAGTATCCTCCTCACTAGGTCCGACAAATGTGATCACGGCTAGCCAGTATCCTCCTCACTGGCGACAGACACGCATGCTAGCCAGTATCCTCCTCACTGACGACACCAAACGGCTAGCCAGTATGGCTCCTCACTGGCGGACACTAACGGCTAGCCAGTATCCTCCTCACTGGCGACGCCAACGGCATAGCCAGTATGTTTCCTGTCTGACGGCAGACATGCAGGCTACGGCTCTTGAATAGCCAGTATCCAATCCTCACTGGCGACACAAACGTGATCATAGCAGTCAGTATCCTCTCTCACTGGCGACACTATACTGGGCTCTTGAATAGCCTAGTATCCTCCTCACTGACGACACAATGTGGCTCAAGCCAGTATTGGCCTCTCTCACTGAGCGACAGACACGGCTAGGCAGTATCCTCAGCTCTTGACTGGCGACACCACGGCTCCGCCAGTATCCTCAAGCACTGACGACACAACGGCTAGCGGCCAGTATATCTCCTCAGCTCTGGCGACACAACGGCTAGCCAGTCCCCAACTCTGGGTCCGCCACTGGCGACACCACGGCTTGCCAGTTTCCTGTGTGAGCGGCGACACATATCTGGCCACAACGGCTAGCCAGTATCCTCCTCACTGGCGACACCACGGAGAGCTGGTTGTGTAACTTTGCCTGAGTTGTATGTATACATGTTGTGTGATGTACTGTGGCATACAGGCCAGAGCTACAAGCCAGCAAAGTGAAATGAGATGACCCGTCGGTCTCGCAGGTGAAAGCAGACCTTGAAACTCCATAGAAGATAAGTCACCGCCGAGGTCCTTTAGTAGATGAGTCATCACGAGGTCGCGCAGATGTTAAATCATTCCAAGAGCATCTAGTAGGTTGGGAAGCAAATCAATTCTACCGAAGATAAAGGTGGACAATCATATTGTAGAATGTAGCAATCCTGCGGTATCGATATTGTTACTGTCCACGGCCAAGGTTGCATGTAAAGAGATTGTTTCTATTATATACCAGATTTAAAAAAAAAATAGATGTGATGCGACCGAGTGACACCTGGTTAAAACAAATACAAAACTCTACAACTTTCTTAGATTCTCAAGGGCTGGGGGGAAACGCACTGGTCACCCCATACCATAGATCTGTCAGTTTTAACTCACAGGCAGGCAGCTAAGAACCTAGTGGGAGTAGAGAGTTTCTGGCAGGTTGACGTGTGCTGCTTGTGTGTTTGTTGTTCTAACGTGGATAGTGTTTGTTGTTCTAACGTGGATAGTGTTTGTTGTTCTAACGTGGATAGTGTTTGTTGTTGTAACGTGGATAGTGTTTGTTGTTGTAACGTGGATAGTGTTTGTTGTTGTAACGTGGATAGTGTTTGTTGTTCTAACGTGGATAGTGTTTGTTGTTGTAACGTGGATAGTGTTTGTTGTTGTAACGTGGATAGTGTTTGTTGTTGTAACGTGGATAGTGTTTGTTGTTGTAACGTGGATAGTGTCTGTTGTTCTAACGTGGATAGTGTCTGTTGTTCTAACGTGGATAGTGTCTGTTGTTCTAACGTGGATAGTGTTTGTTGTTCTAACGTGGATAGTGTTTGTTGTTCTAACGTGGATAGTGTCTGTTGTTCTAACGTGGATAGTGTTTGTTGTTCTAACGTGGATAGTGTCTGTTGTTCTAACGTGGATAGTGTCTGTTGTTCTAACGTGGATAGTGTCTGTTGTTCTAACGTGGATAGTGTTTGTTGTTCTAACGTGGATAGTGTTTGTTGTTCTAACGTGGATAGTGTTTGTTGTTCTAACGTGGATAGTGTTTGTTGTTCTAACGTGGATAGTGTTTGTTGTTCTAACGTGGATAGTGTTTGTTGTTCTAACGAGGATAGTGTTTGTTGTTGTAACGTGGATAGTGTTTGTTGTTGTAACGTGGATAGTGTTTGTTGTTCTAACGTGGATAGTGTTTGTTGTTGTAACGTGGATAGTGTTTGTTGTTGTAACGTGGATAGTGTTTGTTGTTCTAACGTGGATAGTGTTTGTTGTTGTAACGTGGATAGTGTTTGTTGTTGTAACGTGGATAGTGTTTGTTGTTGTAACGTGGATAGTGTTTGTTGTTGTAACGTGGATAGTGTTTGTTGTTGTAACGTGGATAGTGTTTGTTGTTGTAACGTGGATAGTGTTTGTTGTTCTAACGTGGATAGTGTTTGTTGTTCTAACGTGGATAGTGTTTGTTGTTGTAACGTGGATAGTGTTTGTTGTTGTAACGTGGATAGTGTTTGTTGTTCTAACGTGGATAGTGTTTGTTGTTGTAACGTGGATAGTGTTTGTTGTTGTAACGTGGATAGTGTTTGTTGTTGTAACGTGGATAGTGTCTGTTGTTGTAACGTGGATAGTGTTTGTTGTTGTAACGTGGATAGTGTTTGTTGTTCTAACGTAGATAGTGTTTGTTGTTATAACGAGGATAGTGTTTGTTGTTCTAACGTGGATAGTGTCTGTTGTTCTAACGTGGATAGTGTTTGTTGTTGTAACGTGGATAGTGTTTGTTGTTGTAACGTGGATAGTGTTTGTTGTTGTAACGTGGATAGTGTTTGTTGTTGTAACGTGGATAGTGTTTGTTGTTGTAACGTGGATAGTGTCTGTTGTTGTAACGTGGATAGTATTTGTTGTTGTAACGTGGATAGTGTTTGTTGTTCTAACGTAGATAGTGTTTGTTGTTATAACGAGGATAGTGTTTGTTGTTCTAACGAGGATAGTGTTTGTTGTTCTAACGTAGATAGTGTTTGTTGTTCTAACGTGGGTAGTGTTTGTTGTTCTAACGTGGATAGTGTTTGTTGTTCTAACGTGGATAGTGTTTGTTGTTCTAACGAGGATAGTGTTTGTTGTTCTAACGTGGATAGTGTTTGTTGTTCTAACGTGGATAGTGTTTGTTGTTTAGTGTTTGTTGTTCTAACGAGGATAGTGTTTGTTGTTCTAACGAGGATAGTGTTTGTTGTTCTAACGAGGATAGTGTTTGTTGTTCTAACGAGGATAGTGTTTGTTGTTCTAACGAGGATAGTGTTTGTTGTTCTAACGAGGATAGTGTCTGTTGTTCTAACGTAGATAGTGTTTGTTGTTCTAACGAGGATAGTGTTTGTTGTTCTAACGTGGATAGTGTTTGTTGTTCTAACGTGGATAGTGTTTGTTGTTCTAACGTGGTTAGTGTTTGTTGTTTAGTGTTTGTTGTTCTAACGTGGATAGTGTTTGTTGTTCTAACGTGGTTAGTGTTTGTTGTTTAGTGTTTGTTGTTCTAACGTGGATAGTGTTTGTTGTTTAGTGTTTGTTGTTCTAACGTGGATAGTGTTTGTTGTTTAGTGTTTGTTGTTCTAACGTGGATAGTGTTTGTTGTTTAGTGTTTGTTGTTCTAACGTGGATAGTGTTTGTTGTTCTAACGTGGTTAGTGTTTGTTGTTTAGTGTTTGTTGTTCTAACGTGGATAGTGTTTGTTGTTTAGTGTTTGTTGTTCTAACGTGGATAGTGTTTGTTGTTTAGTGTTTGTTGTTCTAACGTGGATAGTGTTTGTTGTTCTAACGTGGATAGTGTTTGTTGTTCTAACGTGGATAGTGTTTGTTGTTTAGTGTTTGTTGTTCTAACGTGGATAGTGTTTGTTGTTTAGTGTTTGTTGTTCTAACGTGGATAGTGTTTGTTGTTCTAACGTGGATAGTGTTTGTTGTTTAGTGTTTGTTGTTCTAACGTGGATAGTGTTTGTTGTTTAGTGTTTGTTGTTCTAACGTGGATAGTGTTTGTTGTTCTAACGTGGATAGTGTTTGTTGTTCTAACGAGGATAGTGTTTGTTGTTTAGTGTTTGTTGTTCTAACGAGGATAGTGTTTGTTGTTCTAACGTGGATAGTGTTTGTTGTTTAGTGTTTGTTGTTCTAACGTGGATAGTGTTTGTTGTTTAGTGTTTGTTGTTCTAACGTGGATAGTGTTTGTTGTTCTAACGTGGATAGTGTTTGTTGTTTAGTGTTTGTTGTTCTAACGTGGATAGTGTTTGTTGTTTAGTGTTTGTTGTTCTAACGTGGATAGTGTTTGTTGTTCTAACGTGGATAGTGTTTGTTGTTCTAACGAGGATAGTGTTTGTTGTTTAGTGTTTGTTGTTCTAACGAGGATAGTGTTTGTTGTTCTAACGTGGATAGTGTTTGTTGTTCTAACGTGGATAGTGTTTGTTGTTCTAACGAGGATAGTGTTTGTTGTTCTAACGAGGATAGTGTTTGTTGTTGTAACGTGGATAGTGTTTGTTGTTTAGTGTTTGTTGTTCTAACGAGGATAGTGTTTGTTGTTGTAACGTGGTTAGTGTTTGTTGTTCTAACGTGGGTAGTGTTTGTTGTTCTAACGAGGATAGTGTTTGTTGTTCTAACGTGGATAGTGTTTGTTGTTCTAACGAGGATAGTGTTTGTTGTTCTAACGTGGATAGTGTTTGTTGTTCTAACGAGGATAGTGTTTGTTGTTCTAACGTGGATAGTGTTTGTAGTTCTAACGTGGATAGTGTTTGTCTCTGCAGGAGTTCGCCTAGACCGAGTCCGGGGTGGCAGACAGAAGTACAAGCGCAGTTCAGACTGTCAGACACACTCACAGCCTGTCTTACCTGTCATCGTCAAGAAATCGTGCCTAGAACGTGAGTACCCTTCACTTGTTGTAACACGCACGCACACACACACACACACACAGAGAGAGAGAGAGAGAGAGAGAGCGAGAGAGAGAGAGACTGATAGCAGCGAATGTTTTGTTTTCTCCAGTGGCTTTGGAACATCTTCATTTTATCACATGCAGATTCTGACTGCTCGAAAGCTTTCATAAAGGCCGCTGACAGAAGGAACGGTGCTAAAGAAGATCGAATAAGAAGAAGTAGTACAAGATTTCCGCATTGACAACAGCGACCTGCCTGAGTTTGTTCTAGTGGCGTTTACTTGGGCACAGGGATGCAGCAATGCTGAACCATGCAGCAGAACCCGGTCTTATACTGGTTCCAGATCTATCCATACCTGTCCGTGGCGTTTACTTGGGCACAGGGATGCAACAATGCTGAACCATGCAGCAGAACCAGGGCTTATACTGGTTCCAGATCTATCCATATCTGTCTGTGGCGTTTACTTGGGTACAGGGATGCAACAATGCTGAACCATGCAGCAGAACCAGGGCTTATACTGGTTCCAGATCTATCCGTGGTCTTCCTGTAAACATGTTCCTGGTTGGAGCTAGAGTGCGTGGGATCGACGTTTGCTTCCAAGTCAAAGTCTGATTGAGAGACAAGGCACCGGCAGCCTACAAACAGTGAAGGCATATCTACAAAACACTCAATATCCAAGTCCTGGAACAATACTAAAGTCTTTGTTTTTTGACATCACTTAAACAAACAGGGTATAATAAATGACATCACTCTAATGATGACGTATTTCGTAAATTATGTGCCATCTCTGCCACGTGACCACGCTGTTTTGTCATCTTGTCTCTGGCAATTGTTGGGTGCAGGTGGCGTGTCCTAGACTGCGTTCATCTTCTTGTTTGTGACTTTGCCTACACGGTCCTCGTTATTTGTTCTCCGTTGTGTCCTATTGTTTGTACAATTGAAAATAGTATCTATCTATCTATCTATCTATCTATCTATCTATCTATCTATCTATCTATCTATCTATCTATCTATCTATCTATCTATCTATCTATCTATCTATCTATCTATCTATCTATCTATCTATCTGTCTGTCTGTCTGTCTGTCTGTCTGTCTGTCTGTCTGTCTGTCTGTCTGTCTGTCTGTCTGTCTGTCTGTCTGTCTGTCTGTCTGTCTGTCTGTCTGTCCGTCCGTCCGTCCGTCCGTCCGTCCGTCCGTCCGTCCGTCCGTCCGTCCGTCCGTCCGTCCGTCCGTCTGTCTGTCTGTCCCTGTCTGCTATGCGAAAGAGAGATAGAGAGGTGGGAGTAGTTAAGGCTGTGGATAGGTTGGTAGTTAAGCAGACATGGCTGTAACTGTTCAGAGAATACCAGAAATAGAAAGTGACTGATGTGTCACAGGTTTGATGTCTCCAGGTCTCCGACACGGTCTGACCCCCGACCTTGTAGTCCAGACGTCAATAACTGCGGTGTCAGGACTTAGCGTCTCGCTTGGACGGCCAGCAGTCCAGTATCGGCCAGCTGCAACTGGCAGTCTTGTCCTCTAACAGGTCCCGGGGTAGCTCTCAGTGGCGACCAAGACATGAACCATCTTGTTGGGCTGTGTCCTGACCTGCCTGCACCTTCTATTCTGCTGTCCTCGTGACCTATGACCGATGTGGTTTGTAGCACGGACGGTCTGGTCTTGGATCTGTAGTGCTGGGTCAGCGCTTGCTGAAGCACCACTGTCTACACGGGTAGCTTTCTTGTGAAGTGAAACTAGGAAATGGTCACCGCGCCTCATTATGTTGTAACCTAGAATATATGGAGGCCTAACATTTCACACACCGGTGGTGGTATCTACTAGAGCTGTACCGAATGTTCGCTTCGGGGTCGAATAGTGGACCTAATAACTATTCGGTATTCGACCGAATAGTTGCGGTCGGGACGAATACGAATAGTGGTTACCTTACACCCTTTTCTGCATTCACTGCGATGGACTAAAATAACTCTCTCATTAACACAATAGGTACAGAAGGTACAGAATAGCGACATTCGAGTTACCATTGAAACAGAAGTGAATAACTACCTGTCAGAGCCGTGTATCCCAAGAGACACTGACCCACTGGACTGGTGGAAAATAAACATGTCAAGATTTCCCATCTTCGTTAATTCCGTCAAGCGTTGTATTTGTGCACCACCTACGAGCGTTATCTTTGTGCACCACCTACAAGCGTACCAAGTGAACGTCTGTTTAGTACAGCTGGAAATACCTTCAGTGAGACGAGAAGCTGCCTTGATGCTGACAACATGGAACGATTGCTTTGTTGAAAGCTTATGCCGCTTTCATGCATTAACTAAACTGTCAGTGACAATTTACAAGTTTAGTTACTTGTTACAAAACTAAGAATACTTTAATTCCTAGGGATTAGTTACTACAGACTGACTAACTGAAGGATGCAAAACATGAAATGTTTCTGTTTACTATTTTGTACTACATTTTGTGAAGTAAAACTTCAGCGTACATTTAACAATATGAATATTTCTTTTTTAGATCTATTTTATACACTATTCGAAAGTGGAAAAATGGGCCTCAGTTTGAATAGTGGGAAGACAGAAGTAATTACGGTATCAAAGAAAAGAATGATTCCTAAATGTGTAATAAAAGTCAATGGTTTTTTTTTGGGACAAGTACAGAAATGTAAGTATCTGGGCACATGGATAACATCAGATGGAAGATGCATTACTGAAATAAGAAACAGAACAGGACAGGCAAAAACTGCATTTTATAAAATTAATAACATCTTGTGCAATATACCTCTGTCACTGAGAGTTATAAAAAGAATTCTTGCTTGCTACATACAGTTTTAACATATGGCTGTGAGTCCTGGACAATCGGTAGGCAGCCAAACAATTTCTTGAGGCCTCAGAGATGTGGTTTTACACAAGGATGCTTAAAATACCTTGGACAGCCAAGGGAAAAAAAGCAACCAAGAGGTTTTGAAAGAGGCGAGAGCCCGAAGACAACTAATCACAGACATCAGAAGGAGACAGTCATCATTTTTCGGCTATGTTATGAGAAGAGGGAAAATTGAACATGTGGTGACCATTGGGAAGATCTATGGAAGGGATAGAGGAAGACAACGAGAGAAGATTCTTGACAGTCTTGTTGCATGGCATGGAGGTGTGTCAGCACACGTACTAATAGATGTAGCGGGAGATCGCAGATTGTCGCTAGGCATAATCGCCCACGCTCGTCGGCAAGGCACATGATGATGATACACTATTCGTATTCGGCCGAATAGTTGGTCTCGCTATTCGTATTCGGCCGAATAGTGAAAATCACTATTCGGTACAGCCCTAGTATCTACCTGCAGAAAGTGGCTAGGGAAGTAGAGCTGATAGTGACTGTTCTGTCCACAACTTCATGTCTACTTCCAGAAAGTGGTAAACGTGTGAAGAATTGCCGACATTGTCTTTCTGTTCTCTCTGTGAAGGCAGACGCAGAGACAAAGTAACCGATTGTTGCTAGGCTGTCCAGTGTTTGAGTTATCGCTAACTCTGTCTGTTGTCTCAGTTAAGTGGATCGTAGAGGCTGCCACTAGGCTGTCCATTGTTATACATTTACATATATTAGGTCAGTATTTTTGTCTAGGATGACCAGTTGCTTCTCTGAATATATTGCCACGCTGTGTATGAGCCGGTCAGGACATAATTATGTAACGATAATGCTGACTGGTGCTTGCGCCAGTTGGGACCTGCAGTGCCACAGGACGTCGCTGACTGTGCTACGTTATATGGTAGACATGTGCCTTGTTTCACCCCGGGTTCATCAATACCGTTGCATAACTAGTGCCACCAATGGCCACCGCGCCATAATGGCATCTCATGTGCACCACGAGGTCACTGACTGAACTTTTGTTGTGTTTTCTATCAACTTGATTGCCCAGACCTCGGCCGTTAAAGAGTATAGTGCGCATATATGTTATGTCTGTCTGTCTGTCTGTCTGTCTGTCTGTCTGTCTGTCTGTCTGTCTGTCTGTCTGTCTGTCTGTCTGTCTGTCTGTCTGTCTGTCTGTCTGTCTGTCTGTCTGTCTGTCTGTGTGTGCGTGCGTGCGTGCGTGCATGCATGCGTGCGTGCGTGCATGCATGCGTGCATGCATGTATCTATGTATGTTATGTATCTATGTATGTTATGTATCTATGTATGTTATGTATCTATGTATGTTATGTATCTATGTATGTTATGTATCTATGTATGTTATGTATCTATGTATGTTATGTATCTATGTATGTTATGTATCTATGTATGTTATGTATCTATGTATGTTATGTATCTATGTATGTTATGTATCTGTGTATGTTATGTATCTGTGTATGTTATGTATCTATGTGTGTTATGTATCTATGTATGTTATGTATATATGTATGTTATGTATCTATGTATGTATGTCGCGACGCGGTTGTCGGCTTGTGTGACATGTCAGTCAGCCGCTACAAGTCTGTGCTATGTTATAGGCAAACATTTACGATCCTGCAACATCACAGCCCCATAAATGACATGTCTCCGGGCCCTGGTCGCCGCCACAGTTGCCGTGCCCAGACTTTTAACAGTGTCAGTGGAGTCCTGCCTGCGATAGTGCCGTGTGGATATTTGTGTCACATCTACTAGGTTAAAGTTGAACGGCTTGTTCCATAACTCATGGTGTAATCCTTGCCCAAATAGACCCTAGTCATGTTTTGTTCGGTGAGACTGAGTATCATTAAGATGCAACCTAGTGCTGAATCTAGTCGGTATAATATTATCTCAAGTGGTTTTTCTCACCATGGGTCTATGGCTGCCCTTGGGGTCATATAAATGGTTCTCGCAGTGTCTACCTGTGTCAGTACAGCTTCACTAGAGATCTTGTCAGTAACTTTAGTATTGTGTCGTGTATGTCGGAGATCTCGGCTGTCAATATCCTGCCGTTAGGGATCTTGTCAGTAACTTTAGTATTGTGTCGTATGTCGGAGATCTCGGCAGTCAATGTCCT